TTCCATGATTTATCATTTTCGATTTTATATTTAGGTCTTTGATCCATTTTGAATTAGTTTTTGTGCATGGTGTGAGGTACGGGTCTTGTTTCAGTTTTTTGCATATGGATATCCAGTTATGCCAGCACCACTTGTTAAAGAGTCTTCATGTACTTGAAGCTCTGTTATTAGGTGCATTAACATTTTGGGTTATTCTGTCCTCTTGATGAACTGACCTCATTATCATTATGAAATGACCGTCTTTATCCCTTGTAATATTCTTTGCTTTGAAATCTACTTTATCTGATACTAATATAGCCACTCCAGCTTCCTTCTGATTAGTGCTGCCTGAGGACTGCTGCCTAAATTCCTTAATTCCTATGGTTGCCTTTATATTCCCAGCATCTCTTATTGATAAAGGGATTAGATGACATGCCCAATCTTACTCAAAAATCATTGACTTTGAACATTTTCCTTGAGCACTCACACACACAATATTGGAACTGCTTGCCATTTTGAAAAGAACTGGAACACACCATTTATAGTTCTACCATGAATAAGAGGTTTTGAATTTAAGCGGTTGCCCCCTGGCCTGCAATAGAAGTAATTCGAGGATTCTGTTTTGGCAAGAAACTAAAGTTTGCTGATCCAGAGTTCCTAGAATGTAAGCAAACTTTATTGCACCTGTAAATTGGAAAACTCTTTAGAGCAGCGGCCCCTGGAACTCAACTTCAGAGAAAGGAAGCAGGTAGGGCTAATTAGTCCCACATGTCCATAATTGCTAAACTGAGGGAAGAGTGCATGTGCCAGGCAAACACAAACCAGATAGATGCCTTTGAAGACCAAGGTGTACTGTAATTAAGACTCCTTGCTTAGAGGTAAAAAACAAACTATCCTGGTTAAAATAACTTCCTCCCAAAACCCAGTTAATCCTAACTTCTTTTGAAGTTTACAAAGTTGACGTAAAACAGCTGATGTTTTGCTGTTGTGTGTAAACATTTAAAAGTTCTAATGCTGGAGTTTTCTTGGAAACAGGAAGAAGATTTGTGGTACTGGAGATCAGATACTGCCAAGTGCTATCTCAGAGTGAGAATCAGAAGTGTCTTTCAGAAAACACTATTTAACATTAAAAGGATCTGTCCCCTACACTGCCATTCTCGCCTCTAAGAATTAATAAGAGATTTGCCAAGAAAAAACAAAGAACTACAGGTGGAATTAATAACGTTAAACATGAAAGCTGTTTTTTTTTAACTCTGCCTTTTCTCCCTCCCTCCCCTGAGCCTTATACAAAGCCTCTTGTACACTTAATTAAGCAAGTGGTGAGTCACATCAGGCAAATAGTAAACTTGATTAGACTATGAATACTCAGTTCCTTTGGAGAGGATGATACTTGATGAGAGAAAAAAAAATAAATGAGTCAAACCTTTGCAAGTATTTGGTGGCTCCTACCAACCTCTGACTTCTCCTTGAAGCTGTTATTCTTCTGGCTGTTCCAGGGAATTATCTTACCAGCTGCAGTGAGAACACTGGGTTTGCTCTCATGTAACAGAACCTCTAAATGAAAACACACTAGGTGTTTCCTTCTGTGTAACTGAGTATAATCACTTAAATGGAAAGAAAAACTGATAACAGCAACAAAAAGGATGGTAAAGCACTGAGGCATTAAGACTGTCCTCTCATTTCCCACAAATCCCAACTGCACCAAAACAGGCCTGCTCGCAGATGACCAGCCTGTTAGAGGCAATTTAAAAAAAAAAACAAAAAAAAACCATTGCCATTGAGTCCATTCCGACTCATAACGACCCTACAGGATAGAGTAGAACTGCCCCATAGAGTTTCCAAGGAGTAGATGGTGGATTCAAACTGCCAACCTTTTGGTTAGCAGCCTAATGCTTAGCAACTGTGCCACCAGGGCCCCAGAGGCAACCTGAGAGGCTAATTGGCAGTTTATCTGAAAAATCTGATAGACCTTACAGGACAAGACCTTGGAGAGGCAGGGCAGCATGGCTAACTGGACCCAGGCTCTACCACTCACTCACAGAATGGCCTTGGGCAGGGTTGTTGAACTTCAGTCTGTCTGTTTCCCCATCTGTAAAATGGGGATATTAACAATACCTACCCTATGGGGAAGAAAATTAGTTAATACAGATTAAATTTTGTAGAATGGTGCCTGGCACATACTAAGCACTATGTATTGTTGTTGAGTACCGTCGAGTCAATTCCAACTCCTAGGGAACCCATGTGACAGAGCAGAACTACCCCATAGGGTTTTCTTGGCTGTAATCTTTATGTAATCTTTCTTCCGCAGAGCTGCTGTGTGGGTTAGAACCAACTTTCCGTTATTAGCAACCAAGTGCTTAACTGTTTGTGCCACCAGGGCTCCCCAGCACTATATATATGTGTTTGCTATTAGAGAATACTTCTTTCAAAAAAACAAGGAACATAATTGGGATCATCTGACAGTGTCCCAAATGTAGACTTCTTTTTATTTATTTATTGTGCTTTAGGTGAAAGTTTAGAGCTCAAGTTAATTTCTTATACAAAAATTTATACACATATTGTTATGTGACCCTAGTTGCAATCCCTCTAATGTGACAGCACACTCCCCCTTCCCACCCCCGGTTTCCCGTGTCCATTCAACCAGTTCCTGTCCCTTTCTGCTTTCTCATCCCGCCTCCGGACAGGAGCTGCCCATTTAGTCTCGTGTATCTACTTGCACTAAGAAGCACACTCTTCATGAGTATTATTTTATAGTCCAGTCTAATCTTTGTCTGAAGAGTTGGCTTTGGGAATGGTTTTAGTTCTGTGATAACAGAGAGTCCAGGGCCATGTCTTCTGGGGTTCCTCTAAGTCAGACCATTAAGTCTAGTCTTTTTATGTGAATTTGAGTTCTGCATCACACTTTTCTCCTCCTTTGTCAGGGACTCTCTGTTGTGTTCCCTGTCAGAGAGGTCATTGGTGGTAGTCGGGTACCATCTAGTTCTTCAGGTCTCAGGCTGATGGAGTCTCTGGTTTATGTGTTCCTTTTGTCTTTTGGGCTAATATTTTCCTTGTGTCTTTGGTGTTCTTCATTCTCCTTTGCTCCAGATGGGTTGGGACCAATTGCTGCATCTTAGATGGCCACTCGCTAGCTTTTAAGGCCCCAGACGCCACTCACCAAAGTGGAATGTGGAACTTTTTCTTAATAAACTTTGTTCTGCCAATGGACCTAGATGTCCCCTGAAACCATGGTCCCCAGAATAAAATTCTTAAGAACTAATTTTGCAACATAAGAATATTTATTTAAACAACAGTTATCAGGTGATGACAAATACAAAGCAGCCTAGGGCAGGAATGGATAAAAATTCCAAAACGCTCATCCTGCACCTCGGGTAGGAACCCAGGCTGAAAACTCCCTAACTAGATTCTGCATATCTGAAAGAAAACAAAGATCTATATAGAGCCATAATTTTCTATCATAATATTTTGCTTATAAAGCAGTTATTGTACTTGAAGTGTGTTCCCCTCACCAGTTGGTGCCAGCCTTGCTTCTATTTCACCAGTCCTTCTAGGAGGCAGTCTAGTTGTAGAAACGCACGCTTACCTACAGCAGGTGTGGGTGCTAAAAAGACGAGAAAGCAGAGGTACACACAGGGTACCTCAGCCTAAGGTAAATCGTCCTAGTTGCCAGTGATGTTCAAACACTCACCATCTCACGTTAAGTCAGTTACGTGGACCAAAAAATACAAATATTCACTTTATGTTGATAAAGTGGTGTTTGGAGGGTAGGAGGCCTCAGGGCAGGAACAGTGGGTGGTACAGTTACTAGCTGAACTGTTAGTGATTCGAACGCACCCAGAGGTGCCTCCAAAGATAGGCCTGGTGATCTGCTTCCCAAAAGTCACAGCCTTGAAAACCCTACTCAGCACACGGGGTTGCCATGACTCAAAATCAACTCGACAGCAACTAACAACAATTCTTATGACTTTATACACTTCTGAATGTACATTTCACAATTAAAACAATTGTTTTAAGTAAAATAGGAATGCGTTGTATGGGTAGACACTCAGCTAGGGTTATTCTTCCCTAGTGAATAAGGCAGAGGAAAAGTGACATCAGGGAAACAGGTGTGCCCCACCCAAACCTAGGAAAGTAGTTACGTTGTCCCGTGTATCTGCAAAAGCAGCTTATCCGCCCTCCTGTGATCTCCTTTTATCCTGAATATTACCATAAATGAAAACACACAAGCACCAGCTAACAACTGCAGTTTTTAATGAAAACAATTTGCCATTCCAGAAACAAGTTTAGGGGGAAAAATCTTCCCTATAAAAAATAAAATCAGACTCCTCAAAATTATAAATATTATAATTTTACTTCTGCAATTTAAAATGCTCCCCTGCAATACCACCCCTTCATTTAACACCTCCTGTACCATCACATATTGAAAACGGTATTCCAGCAAAGCTAAGATAGTTTAACATAAGAATTTTTAAAATGATTTCAACAATCTTTCTTTGACCTTAGGGCCTTTTTCTTCTTTTAAACATTAAAAAATGCTGCTGCAGTAACCAGTGTTTGGGAGAGAACACCAGTCTCTTGAAGAACTATAAACAGACAGAATTTCAATACAGTAAATTTTCCAAATCACAACTTGTAGTGCACATGGCAATCCAGATGAGGTGATGCCTATTTAGACCATCTACTTCAAGTAAAACAAAACAAAACAAAAATTCACAGATACCCATCTGCTATGACTTTGGATTTCTAACAGTGTCTTAATCTGAGAAACAAATGCTTCACAAAATATAAGCTTACAGTTGAACTGGGATGGGTAATTAAAAAGACCAGGTGGTTGATAACAGAATACTCAAACCCAAGCCTTAGTCTCAATAGTAAAACCAGGATAAAAATCATGAAAGCAGTCCCTGAACAATAAAGGCAAGGTGTTTGATGACGATGTCACTAAAACCTCATCAATGCACTGAAAAGTTACATGCAAAATTAAACAAAATGTGCCATACATATTTTATAGCTAGTTCTACTTTTTTTTTTTTTTTTTAACTTTCCTTAAGAGCTTAGGAAGATATGATTGTCTCAGTAATTGTGTGGCACAGCACAGCCAACACTTAAATTCTGCCTCCACCAAGATGGGTATTCTTTGAAAAGTCAGAAGAGCCACCGAGAGAGGAACAGAAATGCAATAAAAGGCACAGTTCACTTAGGCAAAGAACTGAAGCACCTTGGAGTTTCAAAAAGAATCCATTAAGTGTCACCAAAGTGTTAACAATTCCTTGGGAATTTATAAACAAAAAATACCTAGACTTAAAACAGACTGTCAGGCCTCTGTGTAACAACAGCACAAAAACTTTCCCATTGTTCTCAGGTAATCACTGCATAAAATGAGGTTATTTAACCTGATTAAGGAAGGTTTCCATTGCACAGGCATTTCTTTGGTTGGTAGGAACATGTACTTTTGTTAAAATAAATATTTCCATTAAAAAAAAAACAAAAAACCCTGTTGCACGGTCAATTGCATATGTACGTTCCTCTTTCTTGCTGCCTCCTCCTTATAGTCAAGTAGTCTGAGGATTTGGAAGTGAATTGGGTTTTTAATCACTATCCCTGTTCTATGTAATATTCAATTTATAAAAGGAAGTAAGGGAGAGGAAAGCAAGAGGGGATGAAAGGGGAAAATATAAAAAGGAAAGAGAAAGGAAGGGAAGGGAAGAAAAGAGTCATTGTCACGGCCTGTGAGCCTTCTACCTGATAAATCTCCTAGCTGACAATCGAGGAAAACAGCTGACCCATTCCTCCCCCTTTTTAACCTTAAAAACCACCTCTAGAAAAACTACAGCTTAACCGGAGTTAGCAAATAGTCATTAGACCTTGGGAACTGCCCCCCTTGGCCAGAGAAACTACACCAATTAGAACTTCCACTCCACACGGGCAGAAACGGGGCTTAAGGCCCCTCTCTGTCCAAGTTTGCAATTCTCTTCTCAGCTCCAGACTTCATGGCCCTCTTCTTTGGTTTAATCCTACCTTCCTTGACTATGTTCCTACATTTTACCCACCGGGAAATCAAACCATCCTAAAATGGGTTTAACATCTCAAAACCAAATGCATTTTAACTAGTTTACAAACACACCTTCTTCCTCTACTATAAACTTACTACCCAAACCATCCTTACCAGCCCCTCAGTACTCTCCACCTCAACTCACACCTTCTTCCAAACTTGCTCTTTACTTTCTTCGTCAAATGCCTACAAAATCCTTCACAAACTCCTGATTGTTCCTGGCTTCCTGTGCCTTTCAATTCACATGGATACTTTCCTTTGACATAAAAAGGTAGTTTCAACATAAAACAAGTATTCCGATTCCTTGTTAAGCTTTCTAAAAATCATTTGCACATCCTTAAGCTTAACATCATCATCATATAGTTAAAATACCTAAAAAGAAGAAAAATAAAACCCAGAGTTCATGCTTCAAAGCACTCTAGAATGCTGCCTGATGAGCACTACAGATTCACAGCTTGGCGAGAGGCAATATCGCAGTGCTGTGACATACATTACAAGCTTGCCCAGTCCCTTACGCAGGATGCTTACGGTGCAGGATGCTGTGTGACCTGGCTTGGAGAACTAAATCTGGAGATAAGACCCTTACATCACAGGGCAAGAAAACAGCCCTCGGAAAAGAGAGACACTTGGCTGCTGTTTTGTATATAGGTTGAGCATGTTTCACTCGCTCCGAACAGCCCGCACCGTTCCTGAGTGGTGATGAGCCCCTCGCTCTAATCAGGTTTCCACACCTCACTGAGAGCTTCTTCAAGCTTGTGCTTATACGCTGTGTAGCGCTTCTTCAGGTTCTGCAGCTGCTCATCTTCTTCCTTGTCCAAGATGCGCAAGAAATTCTGTAGTTCTGGAAGGCTGAAGGCTTCCCACTGGGAAGGGAACGCAAAGAAGAAAAAAACACGAGGTACTTAAGTCAGAACTTAGGGACGGCAGCTGTGAGCACAGGAGGTGAGGTTGCTCTCACCCTTCCACCACTCACAGCCCACCACCTCAGAGGCAGTGGTTTACACAGGCCATGTTACCAGCTATATGGATCCCCTCAACTCCTACTCACACCTCAGCTCACTCCAGTCAGTTTTTAGCTCCCATCGTTCCTCCAAAATGGCTCTCACTATGGCCAAAGACCTCCGTGTCCCTAATGCCATTAAATACTTTCACGCCTTACCCGATTTGACCTCCAGAAGCATTGGAGACAAGTTGCCACTCCTCACATCTTAAAACATTCTCTTCTTTCTACCAGGAGTCACCACTGACACGCGCTTCTTTCCCACATCCCACAATCAACCTTCACCACAACCAGCTGCCATCAAGTCAATTCTGACTCACGGCAACCCTATGCATGTTAGAGTAGAACTGTGCACCATAGGGTTCTCAAAGGCTGAAGTTTTGGAAGCAGATCACCAGGAGTTTCTTCCAAAGCACCTCTGGGTGGATGCGAACCTCCAACCTTTCATTTAGCAGCTAACAGTTTGCACCACCCAGGGACACAATCTTATCACCTCCTAAACAGTTCTCCAGAGCCCTGGTGGAAAAGTGGTTTAAGAGCTCAGGCTGCTAACCAAAAGGTCAGCAGTTCGATTCTACCAGCCACTCCTTGGAAACCCTATGGGGCAGTTCTACTCTGTCCTATAGGGTCGCTATGAGTTGGAAT